TCCTCATTAGTTGATTTCCCCCCCCCCCTTACTTAACACACACCGCCTAGCCTCGATATTGCTTAACCCATTATACCACCTAACATGGGGGATAGGACGCAGACACCTATCATCAGACACAGCTTGTTTTTTCATGTCTTCCACTTTCAATGGCAAATTCGCACAGCTGTAAAGAAGGTCGGAACGAACTGCTGGCGTGGTACACACGTCTTTTGGTTGACAGTGTGATATCGTATCTACAGCAAAGATAATACAGATTGGCAATCATCTAATGTCAATTACAGAACACAACAATAACTGGGTTACTTAGCCTGGTGACCTCATTCGCACACTTAATGCGTTAGATTCTAGCACCTGATAGATTTAAATATTTCCGTGTATTCTGTAGGTAATCATTGTAATTTACTTATTTCCTTTTTGTTAACTTCTAGGTCGTATCAATCATAGTTGCTCACCAAACTCAATAGTACGTTTCAATGGCACGAATAGTCGCTTATCTGTTGTGGCATTAACATCAATTAAAGAAGGTGAAGAAATCACTATATCATATTTAGATCAATGTTTACAATCCCGTAGTCGTCATACAAGACGTAAACATTTGTCACAAAATTATTTATTCTGGTGTGACTGTCCTAAGTGTGAAACAGAGAAGATGAATGGTGCACCAAGTGTGACATCCTCTGAAGAAGAAGATGATGATAATGATGATGTTGATGAAGATGATGAAATGGGTGGAGAAGAAAGTGATCAAAAATAGATGTGGCTGACAAATACAGAAGTGCTTGAAAAACCAATAATAATGATGAGAGAAGTTAATGTTAAAAACTTGCTCACTTCTACTGTGAATATTTTCTTAAAATGTATTAAATACAATCAAATTTATACACTGATTAACATCCTTGTTCTATTGATTAGATTGTTTGAATTTTGTTTGAAAAAGGGTTTGGTTGTTTGATTGGGATTTCGATTTTTCTTTGGCGGTTATTTTGATAGATTGTTCAGTGAAGTTCAGTTTCATATCCTTATTTGAATTGAACATACCAAACTGAAATTTATTCGCCAGTCGACAATATTTCTTTCTCTTTAGTTAATTAATTCTGTTACCCAATGCAAAATGACTTATTAAACTGGATATTTAGCTTTACTATTGATTAGACGATATGACTTAGTAAGATGTGGGAGTTAGTAGATTTAATGTAAAAAGTTTCACTTGAAAGCTCAATTGTGACTCACTAAACTTGCACAGTTACACATTCCCATCTAGCACGTACTTTATGAAACTTGGATATTCGGAAAGTGCCACTGTACCACACAAATAATAGGTGCAGCATAACGCATCTTAAGTGGTTAATCATGTTCACGTCAGTCGGTGACTACAAACTCTAGATTCTTATTAAAGTGACTAACTATGAATTTTATTCAGCTTTAAATGTTAGCAGTCGGTTAGTAGCAGGGTCGGTGTATTCTGGCACATGTGAACAGGGTGTGTTTGAAGTCTTGAAAGGATTAGACGACTCAAACCCACACTACTTAGCATTGAAGACAAATGCTAACATTAAGCTACCCATTATTGACTGGTGAATGCGTCATCAAATAGTAACCGTTGATGTAGCTTTCAGGTCTATCGGTTTGATTATATTTTCGACAAACTTCCATAAGCACTAAGAAATTCAAAGTTGCCGTCTAGTGATAAATAAATTAAAAAATTTATTATTTAGAATCAATACAACAAAACCTGTAGATCTGTTTTATGTACAACTGTTGTTTGATTGGTTGGAGGATTTCATCGTTAGCTGACATTATTTAGAGAACCATTGGAAAACCTAGGGAGTACTGGACAGCTGTTTCGCCCTAGTTTGGGACTCTTCATCACCATGCACCCACCGACAGGGTTCGAACCCAGGACCTTCTGGTTACAAGGCGAGCTCCCTAGGTTTTCCAATGGTTCTCTAATTGATGTCAGCTCATGATGAAATCCTCCAACCAATCAAACAAAATCCCTAAAAAACCAACATTTGAAAATTAATCTGATATTCACTAGCGACTGGCACTATTCAGGCAGTTAACCTGGGGTTCTAGCGGGAAGCCGTGACCAGTAGGCTGCAGCAGGTTGAAGATGAGGCAGTCACTCATGGAAGAAGACATTGCGAAGCAGTCGCGCTGTGTCGTGAATTGGCAGAAGTTAGAATTCATTGGCTGGCCATTGGATTGGGTCCCAGTGGCTTAATGGTCTACGAGCTAGCTCGCCTTGTAACCAGAAGGTCCTGGGTTCGAACCCTGTCGGTGGGTGCGTGGTGATGAAGAGTCCTAAACTAGGACGAAACAGCTATACAGTACTCCCAGTTGGTTTTCCGATGGTTCTCTAACTGATGTCAGCTCATGATGAAATCTTCCAACCAATCAAACAAAATCCCTACAAAACGAATACTTGAAAAAAAAACCGTTGTTTTATTGAAACGATTAACTTGGTGACTATTAGTAGTGACTAATAACTAACTAATTGTCATCTACTTACTCCTTTGTTCATTTTCATCCATTGTATTCTTATGAAACGTATTCTTTGCTCATATGTTTGCTTCTCCAAAGTGTGGCAATATGAACTGCTGTACTTTTGCTTAAAGTTCTACTTTGATAAGTTGGTCGTGATCAATTTGAGATAATTTAGGAATTGCATTAGTTCTATTAGTTATCTACCTACTATTCTGTTAATGATCTTAATAGATTGTTAGATTACACTCAAGTACTACCAATGAATCACTTTTTGACGTCCAAAATCATGGAAAAGTGGGACCAGCAGAAGCTTGATCAATAGTTGTACGTAATTATTATGAAATTTCTATCGCTTTATGATGTTCTCATGTGTTTAGGGTTTGGCGTGTATTTGTTGTCCAATGGTGTGACTGTCGGTCTGTGTATCGTGTTTCGGTTTATAATGGTTATGATAGATGATAGCTTAAGAAGAATTTTAAAATGCATCACTTTATTACCTCAGTATGGTAGTTGTCCATTAGTTACTATTTATATGTAATTTAGGAATGTTTCGGGGCTCACCAAATGAAATCTATCAGATATAGAAGACTGGTAATTATATATGCGACGCCGATTCTGTCATGTAGTGGAAAGAAAATAAAAAGTGAACCCTCATTTGCACTTATATAATAAACGAAATATTCCCATATTGAGTCATAAGAAAAAGGCACAAACAGCGAAGAAAATTTTCTTTTCGACGATTCATTTTCATGAGCTGTACAATCGCAAATATAATTAACAAAGAAATCTTTAGACCAATCAGATACTGGTAAATTTTTTCCTTGGAAAATTGTATTACATAATGTAAGGTGCAAGAAGGGATGACTAATTGTAAGTTAGAAAGGAGACAGAAGTTGGCATGACGTAATAAGTGTGAGATAGTGAATAATCACAATCTCGTGTAAAATGGACAGAACCAGTAATTTAATATTATATAATATCTGGTTGGTTATAACTCACTGGCAGTAATTCTGTAAATTGATTGAATTCTACCAACTTAGACATAAGTTGTCAGTGAGGTGATTAGTAATCTTTACCAGTCTGTTGGAAATACCTCAGATTCTCATATACCAGCTAGTACCTTAGTTTTTCCGGTCAGTGATTTATCATGCTATCATCCTTAAACACTTGAATCTAAAGCCTTAGGTCCTGTTGCTTGGTCTTTTTTCAAACTAGAGGCTGCCTCTTATACATATTCAGTAATGACTAACTGGTTGATATTCACCGTCCATTCATGTTGGAGTTTAACAGTAGACAGATGTAGTGCAGCTGAAAAATAGTCAAGACGATCTTTTTCATTGTTATGCCAATGTTCCATTCGTATATCTTATAAAAGTATTGAAGTTCTACCTTCATTTCACTTACTAGAGTATTTTCTAGGACTTGTGTCCTTGATAATTCTGCATAGTTGACAGGTATTACCTAGTATTGTCTCTTTTTTCCCCATTTATCACCCATTACTGCTCAATGCGTTTGCAAAGACTTGGGCAGTATACTTCTAAGTAACTTCAGTAAGTAACTTCACCATGTACTCCGTCGTCGCTATCTCTGTAGGATCGCTAGCATCCTATGACATCATCGTGTGAGTAGTTCTGAGGTCCGGTAGTGTGTGTTTTGGTATGGTAGAAATCACTATTCATTGAATATCGTCATCTGGAAATACCGGATTCGTTGGCTCGGACATGTGCTACGAATGTCATCCCAGAGGTTTCCTCACCCGTCTCTCTTCGCTAACCCTGGGACTGGATGGAAAAAGCAGAGAGGTAGTCAGCTCATAACGTGGTGTCTTTGGATGAGGCATATTTATAGTAGGTTAGCACTAATTAGTACATCACGACTCCCTGTTCGGGGTTCGAAACGTTATCAATTATGGCCAAGAATAGCAATCAGTGGTGAACAGGGTACAACTTCCTCCTCCCTTCCCTTTCTGAAAGCACCATGAAGTATTGAATATTGAATGATTTTGACAAATAGGCGTGCTTGCTTTCCGGATGACGTCCCTCATTCGCTTTCTCCCAAAATTTCCTTGTATATTGTTGTGTGGCACATCTCTTGGTGTTCATAGTGTGCCAAGTTTGTGTTTTAAATTTTAAAAAATAACATCGATCAAGTCAGATAAGACTATCCATACACCATATAGTTATGTATATAATCTCTTAAGCACGTCAGGACTACCAAAAGCATTAATTCCAGGCCATGTATGACCCGATGAGATATGCAATCGCCTTACTACCATGTAAGAGTAACAGCATTGGGATTTACTAACTGATCACTATATAATATATTTTTAAAAAACAAGTGCAGTAATTCAGATTGGAGTTAAAAACTTAAAAACAACAAATAAACAGGAAGGTTGGATAAGAAAGGTAATAGGGTAATCATTATTGGTGGGACTGACTTTTCATGATGACCACGATAAGGACAACGGTTGGACGTATTTCTTTCTAACACATAGTGTGAGCTTGAGCTCTTGGATCCCCAGTTCCTCAGCTATTCCTAGATGCCTTGATTTCACTCCTTTTGATAGGTTTGATCGGATCTTGTATATGACTTTGAAGGACTTTTCAAATGGAGCTGAATGTCCTGAATTCACCAGATGTTCTGTTACCGAACTGTATACACCCTTGCGTTCTCCCTTTGCTAACCATGCTGGATAGTGTTCCCGAGCACGTTTTACAAGCGGACACATGGTACGGCCAATGTACTCGGTTCCACACGAACAAGTGAACTGGCATAAGCATGTTTAAGTGGCCCAATGCGACAGTTTGTCTTTCATGTGCCAGTTGAATAATTTCTTGCAGGAATATCTTACTTGTAGGCTGGCGGCGAAGTATGTTTTACTGAGAGAATTCGAAAGCCATCTACGGAGAAGTTCTGCTTCGGTACCACTTTAAAATTCGAGGTTAAGTATCGGCATTTTTGGGAGGGCAAGGGGTGACACTGACCTTTTCAGGCGTTTTCTTTGGTTTTAGATTCTTGTCTACGAATCTGGATGAAGAGAAACCAATTTCTATCCAGATCCTTCGGAGATTACGCAATTCTTCATCAATTCACTCCTCAGAGCATATTTTCCGGATCCTCGAGGAAAGAGAGTATATTAGGTTTCTCTTTCTGCTTAGAGGCACATTAATTTGAAAGTTGGTAAACTGTCCGTTCCATGTGGACTTTTGTAGATGGATCTTCTCAGCATTCCTTCGCGGTTGAATATCGAAAAAGTGAAACGTTGAGTCAGACTCAACTTCCAGACTGAAGTCGATGTTTGGATGGGCGATATTGAAGGTTTGGAATGGATGTTTTAGATAGAAATTCTCACCACAAATAATGAAAGTATCACCAATGTATCTCGTGTAGAGATGGAACCCATCGATACTCGATGATAAGGAATTGTTTCCTAGGCTAGCCATGAAGCAGTCAGTCAAGAGAGGTCCAAGAAGAGAACCCATTGCTACTTCATCTACTTGCCTGTATATTTCGTTGTTGAAAATAAATTAGACTTTAAACGTGAATCATAGTACCAGCTCCTTTATATAATGGATTGGTATACCAAAATCGACGCTATTGCGTCCGCTTGTACAAACGCACTCGGGAACACTATCCAGCATGGTTAGCAAAGGGAGAACGCAAGGGTGTATACAGTTCGGTAACAGAACATCTGGTGAATTCAGGACATTCAGCTCTATTTGAAAAGTCCTTCAAAGTCATATACAAGATCCGATCAAACCTATCAAAAGGAGTGAAATCAAGGCATCTAGGAATAGCTGAGGCACTGGGGATCCAAGAGCTCAAGCTCACACTATGTGTTAGAAAGAAATACGCCCAACCATTGTCCTTATCGTGGTCATCATGAAAAGTCAGTCCCACCAATAATGATTATCCTATTACCTTTCTTATCCAACCTTCCTGTTTATTTGTTATTTTTACACTTTTAATTCCTATGTGCACTACTAGATTTGTTTGTTTTTTTGTGTGAACTTCCTACCTACTTTGTTGATGTCACACCATAAGTATGCTTGTGTAAAAAAATGAAATTATTGTCATTGCATTAACGCAAGTCGTCGGTGGCACAGTGGTTAGGACTCTCGCCGATCATGCACATGGTCCGGGGTTCGATCCTCTGCCGGCGCACACTCGATATCTATGGTCGGCCTGAATTTGGGCTACCGATATCCATGCTGAAAATTCCATACTTGTACTGAAAATACGGTGTGGAATCAAGCTGTAATCAAAATAAAATAAATCGATAGTATGATTCTGTGGAAACCACTGTTGAACATTTAAAATTACATTCGATCAGCTGACGTATAGAAATTATTCCAATAGTGATTTTAATTTAAATGCGTTCGAAAATTACGTTGGATGAATGAACCTAAATTTTCTTCGGTGTGTTCACAGCTGAATCGTAACACAAGTAAGGTTTAATGTTCATGCATGTCTGCTGTGTTCTTCAGTTAGACAGTCAATGAATTCTTTGAAAAACTCAACTTCATTTACATTAATTTTCCGAATGAACATATGTCTGACTGCTTTTGTTTACAAATATCAGATATTTAAGCCAAAACAATCAGCGCTACACATGACACAATGAATCCAGTGTATTTCATCGTGTTCTTATCAACTGCATACTGACTAATAAACATTGTAGTTTACACATCCCTTACCTAATAATCGGGGCATTGTTCATCGATAATCAAGGAATGAAAAAAAGAAAGTGTTACAGCCTGATAGTGTTTTTTTCCCACGTGTTTGGAATTGTAATTCCTAGCACAGTCTGAATGAAAATTGAAAACGTCTGACAGGAAACAGAAATTCTTCTAGGTAACATGGAAATCCAAGTCTGACGTTTGGCGTTCTTACCACTTGTAATCTGAAATCATTGTACCCTGGGAACTTGCTTACTAGGTTTTTATTCAAGTCCTGCTGTAAAGGAAGCTAAGAGTTTCATTTAACAAATTGTTTACTAAAAGTACAGTAACTGGTACCCCAAATATATTCGGCATCGAAGTTTGTGTCAACAGTCTCGTCAGTCACATATCTGTTCTAATCTAAAACAGTTGGTTCCCTTTATGAATTTCGACAAAACAATAAGAAGACGTAGTTTATCTGAAACGTGTGAATGTATTTGTGCAACACACTTCGGACATTCTGATCACACACGTACTTGTGATAGACATTCATGTAGAAGGCAAGACAGCATAAATTATTACCATACAGGTCAAGGTCACAAATAAGGGGTAGGAAGTTGATGTAAGAGTAATTTTGGACACATAAGACAGGTTTAAGCCTTTTTATGGCCAAGGCTTCAACATATTTATGTGACCCACCCTTGTTTTATATATGGGTTTGAAGACCTTATTAAAATCAGCCTTATGACCCGTCTCTATGGTTTGCTTCTCTGTAGATGATGCTGGGTCACATACTTGAATTCGTTGAAGCCTTGGGCATAAAAAGGTTTAAAACTGTCTTATGTGTCCAAAAAATTATTTGTTATTACTTTAAACCTGCCTTGGTAATCCAGTTTAGAACCGAGGTTCAACTTACTCAATGATATTTTCACCCTCTCCCTTCCTTTCCCATATCTTTGTCATACCCGACACTCTTACATCACCTTCCTACCCCTTATTTGTGACCTTGACCTGTACTGTAATCATTTATGCTGTCTTGTCTACTACATAAATGTGTATGACAAGTACGTGTGTGATCAGAATGTCCTAAGTGTGTTGCACAAATATATTCACACGTTTCAGATAAACTATGTCTGTTCTAACTCCATTGCTCATAATGATTATGAGCAATAATTTGTGCTCGAAAGGTGGTCATCAGTTAATATTACTGTAAAGCACTGTGTGATTTATCAAAATAAAATCCTATCCATAATGGAGTTATACTCTACCACAGTGCCCAAGTTTTATGCTTATATAATGTCTGTTTTAATTGTTGCGTGGTGGTTGAAAATGGAATGTGGATCATTCACTTTGTTTTTATTCACAACTGGCAAACTGTCTGTTATTGTAAATAATTGATTCGCAGTATTCCTTTTAACATTTTCGTAACATAATAAATAATGTGCACTTTCTTCATTCTACCATTAATCAATGCCGAATACTACGACTGTAGTAGTAGTATTTTTGCTCTAAACTCATAAACCAATATAAACTCGCTATTTTGCGTCAACTGGATTGGATTTTTTTTCGAATTTCATTTTCCATTAACAATCATAATTTCAGTGTGACTTGGGAAACTGGTCGGTAGCTTTCCAACGAACGTTATGAATCGTGTAAGTATCGTGGTTGTTTTACCTGAAATGGGAAATATCAACTTACAAGGATGGTTCTTCAGTAACATCAAAGCAACTAGTCCGAATCCCATTAGCCAACTCATCATCATGAAAGAAGTGACATGATTTATACATTCTTATCCACAATAAAGTTCGACTAGTTCTGTGGAGAATAAATTGTTCCGATTGGTTGGCTATTGGTTCAAGGTTAGACATGTTGTCCAATCAGGTTATTTCATGTCCACAACGTAAACTAAGTGTAGATTTGAGGAAAATACACTTCTACGTCTGCAGCCAACCATTAATTTAGAATGTTGATTTCAGTTTTGGCCGCATCCTGGCAATTTGCATTGAATTACATTGTTATTTGTCTCGCAAAGATTAGCCTAGTGTTTTTTCCATTTTGACTACTTGATATACAAGTGGTTTACCGAAGCTATGTTCTCATCTTAACATGATTAAATTTATCTTTGATGGAGGGTCTCATGGTTTTCATATTTTCTAAATTACAGGTAACCTATCTGGTAAGTATTGACTACACATTGTCTACTTGTACTCTCTCTCTCTGTGTACTCCTCTTTTTTGCTTCTTCATCGTTTTATATCTAACTGAAAGTTTTTTTCTATTTCAGTGTGAACGTTTGTTCTGTTGTTTTCGTCGTTCTTCCGATAATGATGATTCACATATTCGATATGAATCATATTCACAGAATCGTGGTCCAAGTTCTGTAGACCCAGAAACACGTAGACAATTGCAAGCAGAAGCTGCTGAACGCCGACTAGCTGAAAGTTCAACACGAGGAATTGCAGATCCTGAAAGTGTAAGGCGAAAACAGGAACGGGCTGAAGAAATTGAAAGAATGCAGTATGCCTCAGGGAAATCAGATAATAAACTACAGTGGAATGTCAATTAAGGGATCTGTTCATTCTAATATAAGTGAGTGATACATTTAACTTGTAATTATTTCTCATATATTCACAGTTTGGTAACAGTAAAAAAGGAATATTATGCTCCACCCTACTTGTTAATATCTAAAAAATGTCGTCAGAACTCATATTATGCATGTAACTATTCAAATGGCAAACCATCTTTTGGCTTAATAATTCAAGTTGTTGCTATTTAAATAAGCATCATTCAACATCGCTGAGTATATATAATAAACAGGCTGTGTAAAAGCTTAGACAATAACACATCCATAGGAACGGTTGCACCCAATAATTGCAAAATAATAAGTTAGAAGTGTAACGGCAAAATGCAAGAGTGATTAGTAACGAAATGCGTATTTGTAACTTGATATACACATATACGGGAATTATGTATGCCTTATATTAAAGTCGTCATATGCACAGATCTTCCGTGTTGTGCCATTTCTGCCCTTCATATGGTGTTTGTTTGTCTTCTTTTTGTTTCTGCCATGTTTCGTCTCAATACCGGTTCATTTCTTCTCTCTGTGACGTCAAACCTGTCTTTCCACTAATTGATATTTATGTGGCGTTGAACTTCTCTTTATATACTACTAATAAAGCCCGTTAGTAGCAAATCCCACAAAAATACTAGTTAAGGAACGGTTGTGTATGCAACGATTCAAATTTGACTTCTATTGGCCTCTCAAGTATATTATGTTGGATGAAATGAAGACGTCCGATACAAATTATGTTTGTATGCATTTTTGTGTGTTTGAAATGAAATAAGAATTCCGTTTCCCATAGTGAATTGGTTTGAAATTCATCGAAGTGATTCAAACAATAAATATATTTTCAGATATATAACTAGTGCAGTATAAAAGTTATCATTGAACTAACTAGTTTTCGGTAATGATAATATTTAATTGAATTTTAGATTTTCCTGTCGATTGATTGAACTGAAGTGCTCGGTCTCAGGTTGACATGTTGGCTTCTTGTGCAGATGCACTTCGGTCCAATCAATCGACGGGAAAAATCTAAAATTCAATTAAATAATTAATATGACCCGTTGCACAAGAGGTGGCTCTCGTTGCCCAAGTGGTCTAGTGGATAACGCTTTGGCGTTTGAAATATATGGGCACTGGGTTCGAGCCTCGGTGGGAACATCATCGCTCACTGAGAAATGCAGGTACATCCAGATGACGAGTCTCAAATAGGACGAAATGCGCCTCCTAAACTCCACTGCTAGTCACCATCCACAAATCAAGTTAAATGATAATATGTGTTTTGAATAGATGGTAGACATAATCATATAAACGATCCTTGGATTGCAGGAAGTTTAGAACGAAGGAAAGTTACCTACTCCTTGGAACTAAGAATGAGGGGTGACTTAAGCCTGTGCAAAAACTAGCACAGAATCATGCTCCTATCTGCACAAAACAAAATATTAAGTTGTTTCATCCTGGAAAGACTAAAAACTGTTGGGGATGCAGAACTCCTCCCTGAACAATCTGCATTCAAGAAAAAGGAAATAATGTGCAGATCAAACGCAACGCTGTGCATCACCATCGAATAGAGCCAAAAATGGCAGTCAAATCTCTACCTCAACTTCGAGAAAGCCTTCAGTAGCATTGACTGCGAAGTGATTTGGATACCGCCTCAGAATTGTGGAGTGCCCCAAACGTTGATCAACCTCACTCAGCAACTTTAAGATGATGCCACTTGTCAAGTGATTCACAACGGAAAACTTGCCGAAGCTTTCAAAAGTGAAGACAGGAATAAGACAAGGATGCCCACTCTCACTGATGATATTTCTGATAATAGTGGAGTGGATCATGCGGCAGATCATGGTGAACGAGAAAACAGGAGTACATTGGGTAGAGAAGAATCCAGAAGATCTGAACTTCTCGGATGATGTACGTCTGGTGTCACACAAACTCAAAGATCTACACGAGGAAACCAACAAGTTGGCTGAAGTAACAGGCAGTAAAGACAAGACTCCAAGTAAGCATAGAAAAAACAGAGGTGGTGAGGTGACCTAACGACCAACAACAACAAGGCCAATCACTATCCACGGGAGAAATTTGAAAGAGGTCACTTTCTTCACGTTCATAGGCACCATCGTTTCAACTACAGGCAGACGGCACGGATGACGATGCAAAACCGGAATCGGAAACGCAAGACAGATTTTCATCACTCTGAAATCAGCATAAAGAACACAATTTGGATTTTCGACACTAATGTTAAGTCCATCAGTTCTTCTATATAGTTCATGAATTAGATGCTTCACAAAAAACATTTCCAACAGGTCGCAGACTTTTATCAACAGTTGCCTTCTCTACACATTCAAGATCAAATGGCTAAAAACAATTGGCAACAAGAAACTATGGGAACAAACAAGTCAAGAATGTATTGCTCAACAAATTTCCCAAAGAAATTGGAGATGAATCTGACACACGCTTAGGAGACCATTGGGTGATATCTCGTGCCAGGTCATAGTTTGAGTCGAACTCTAATGGAAAACGACGAGTTGGGTGTTTAAGAGTAACATGGAGGAGATTAGCGCGTATGGACAAACGTGAATCCAACTAAGGAGTATTACGTAATACTGGATGAAACGGAGATGTGCTTTTGAAGTCCCATGTTCTACTCTGAATCTAAGGGAATAATGATCACTATAACTGGCTAGTTGATCAGGAGTGTTACATAATATATATGTGTGAAACTGAGAATAATGCCTATATATGTATTCCTGAATATTTTTACCCAATGAATTTAGCTGAAGAATAGTCGTAAAGGCAACAAAGGTCAGCAAATTGTGTTCTTTTCGTAACTTCACTTCAGAGCTATGTGTTCTAAGAAGTCAGTACGTAACCGGAAAATATTAAGTGGTGAATATCACCCAGAAATGACTACTATTTAGACTACAAGCTGTAGGAAACCGGAGTATTGTTCATACGAGTAAGAGGCGTAGACTATAAAGTATACTTTAAAGTTAGGAGTTTAAAAGGAAAGAATGACAGGGAGAAACCGAATGATTATGAATTACATACCAAATTATTGTACAAACTGAAAAAAAGAAACGTTTTTGGGCCACAGTGGTGAAAAGGATTAGGTAAACCGTTTCGGTGTACCCAATTTGGGATTCTCCTTGTGTACAGCTTGAGCTTCTGCTGGAAACAGAAGATGTAATTGGAAACCGTTTGAACAGTTGACTGATGGTTTGTTGGCATCATAAGTTGATTGTGTCGAGATCGATCTCTTGTAGAGTCATTGGTTCGCTCTGCTAAGGAATTCGAATTCGACCTCGGTTTTCGATGATTCCCTTTATGACTTCGACTGATGATGAAATATATTTTCAAAGCAGTTAACTCCCTCATATAGGATAGTTGAGTTTTTCCTTATCTCTAAGTTGGATTTTAAAACACCCTTTCGTTCGTATTGTCCATATTGTTCTTTAGAACTTTGATTGAATGTTTTGATATTTTAATCTTTCTGTAGAGTAATAAAATATGCCACTCTTCTCTATTTACAAATAGTTTTGCAATTCTTTTTTTTTGTTTCATAGTTAAACTATTGACTCTTCTGCTATTGTCATATTTTGCTTTACCAACATATTTTGATTAGTTACTACGATAAGTTTCACAGTATATTCTTTTTGCGTCTCTAAAAACTTTGAATGTGACGAAACCACTCTGCTAGACACATGGGCTGAATCTATTGATCCAGCAGCGTCTAGGTGATAGTATTATACTTCACGTGATACTTACAGTTTACTCGCTAGTTAGTGAGAAAACTGTATCTTACTACTGAATCGCTCCAGACTATGTATACATAAAACTAAGGGTATTCTTCATATATATATTGGCGCAAAGTACACCGTCAGTTGACATCACGATGGGTGCATACTTCTGAAGAGTCTCAAATTGGGACGAAACTGATGTTCAGTATTCCCATATTTTCAGGTGGTTCTCTAAATGATGACAGCTGTTCTGTCCTGTTCTCTATCGTCTTTTTAGACGGCTCCACATTCTCATGTAAGCTCTCATCTCCTTCATTCACCTAAGGACCATGCCCAACTTGTCGCCTCCCTTTCGGGTTCTACTCGAGTGCCTCCTATACGGTGTGTTATGTCACTCAGCGGCCTACTCAGCATGTGTCCAATACATTTCCATTTTCTTTAACATATTTGTTGGACAATAAGTTGTTGATTGGTTCTCTGGCTGTCAGTGTTCCTCACTGTTTATCCTTTCTGGCTACTTTATCTTGGGTATAGAGCGAAGGCAACTACTGTTGATAAAGCACTCAAGTTTCAGCTAAAGGCTCCGGAATTTGAATGCCGTTCTGCCTATTTCAACCCGGACAATTTAAGCCTTCATACAATAAGTTTGACTGGTGGCCTGATACATGAAAAATCTATTCCGGATAGATAGCTTATTTTCTAATATTTAAATAAATATAACAGATATTGTAAGCAATCTTAGTGTGAACAGTTGAATAAGTTCTATTCATCTGTTTCAAAGAAGTTAAACTATGTCAATCACTCCGGCACATGACTTTCAAAAGCTAGTTAGAGATACGAAAGGTATAACCAAATCAAAATACGCCCTCCCTCCTGAATTTGCTCATTGAGTTTCAGGAAGATTTAGCGTTTGGTTACTTTGTTAACAATAGATTAATTTGAGTTACTAAAACAGACATATGTGGGGGAAGCTTGGAAAGATAACTGGTCTTTAGGGAGGAGTGAAATTTTGGGATAGAATAAAGAACAGAATCAGACACAGGCGAAGTTATAGTATCATTGCCAAGGCCAAGTTATTTCAAAAGTTGACCCTGAAGGACCAATCAGATACAGGGAGTGCTATGAAGGTTCATTCCAAATCAAATCATACCTGACTATCTGGACTATGGATAAAATATTCCACTTATTCTGTAGGTACTTCTTATGTGAACCCATAGTGTTATGTGGGGTTTATGGCTTTTTACACTAGGGCTCAGTGCCTGGAGTTAAGGTTAGGATTCGGGTGATAGTCAGGCATAGGTCAAAGGACAGTGTCAGAAATGTCAATAGATCTCAAAGTACCATGACATGCAGTCACCTGGACGAATGGGTGTATCGCGCATGGCTCTATTTCTCTATTGATTATCTGTGTAGCGAGTGACTGGGAGAAATTCTTACAACACATAAGCGACAACTATGTAATATTATGATATTATGTTTGCAATGTGTTTTTAGTGCATTTTTCAACGATTATACGACTTTTTTGCATCTAAATTCTGATTGGTTGTTCAAGGTCACTGTTGTTTTGACTATTATAATTTAACATTTTTTCTCAGAAATATATGTGGATCGCATGACACCCTGATCTATAATCATATTTTTTTTTAAAATAGTTTGGAGGCTTTTATTGATGCTTAACTCTGATCACTTGTTCTAGGTGTTAGTAGTAAGGTTGATTGGGGTAGCTTTTATACTTTAACTTTGCCTCTACTTCCTTCCTTCTATGAAAATGTTAATCATTCGTGATATACTTTCCTGTTTTTGTTTGATTTCAGATTTATTCTACCAGAGATCCGAGGCATTTGTCTGAAAATGAATTATAAATAACTAACTCTGATAATTCTCAAGTAATGTAGCCTACTTTTTCTTTTCTCCTTGACGCGGTATATTTTTCATTGCGCGAGTGTGTGTTTGTGTGTTAAGATGATGTAAGTTGTAATACATATATTTATTTTTTAAATGACACTATATTAGGCTTCCTTTTGGATGTGTGGACACCAATGAAATTTTTTTATAAACTCCATTACTCTTTACTCCAACAAATATCAGTTTCTTCTATTGAACATTGAAATTTTCAATGATGGCGCTTCTCGCTTGTTCAATTCAAAATATTCATTCGTGTTAGCAGTGAATATTATCTTATCCTCCTCCGCACAAAAATGTCTATCCTTCAGATTGTTTAATAAAAAATAGCATTTTTTGGTGTATTAACTTCATTGGATTATATTTTATTTTGTTTTACTGTGTGTATACATTGAACACGACTGTGTGCTTATGACTAATTTTATATAACTGACTTTCAGCCTATTGTAAGCTTTTAAATTTCATGATGTAGTTTATTGGGAGTAAGCACTAACTAGTATGCTTCAAGCTTGTTTACCATTCTGTTTTTCCCTCATCTTTTCGCAATCAGAAAACAGTATGCATCACGTAATCAACCTTTCATGGAATCTTGTTATTTCTTAACCATATATTTCATATTCTATGCCTGTTTAGTAAACCTCTGTCTGTTTCAATTAGGCGTTGTTTGTTGGCTTGTTTTTTTCAATATTTTTGTCAACACATCTTATCTCCATTGTTTGTTTACTATTATTGCTATCGTGGTTGTGTTTGATTATTAAAAAGATGGTCGCAGCGAAGAAAATTTTCTTTTCGACGAAGTTATCAATTAGGCTGTATATTCGTGTATTTACATTAAATGCGCGAGAAAGTTCCAGAATTATTTTCGGTCAGAGGTCAGATTAATAAAATTACTAACTGCAATAAACAGAAGATAAGTAGTGGCGCTATTCTAGAAATATTTCATGTCAAAGGTCAAATTGAAAATTACAATGTGTAGTAATCAGGAAGATCGGGTAGAGAAGACGAAATAGGATTAAAATTTCTGGAAATCTTGTCAGTTTGTATAATTACGAGTTAAGGACGTAGTATTAATGAAAAAGGTGGGAGGTTCGGACATATATAGATAAAAACAGTAACCAAATCTAATAACGCAGATAGGGATGTTGATATTGAACTTCGAATTTAAAAGTGATACCGAAGCAGAAATTCTCCGTAGACGGCTTTCGAATTCTCTTAGTAAAACATACTTCGCCGCCAGCCTATGGGTAACATTCTCCTGCAAGAAACTACTCACCCAGCACATGAAAGACAAACTGTCGCACTGGACCACTTCAACATGCATATGTAACGACAGAAGACAAGGGCCAGGCAACATATCATTTATTGAGAAAATCAAGACGTATTAATAGATTTGTAGGTACATTATTGTTAGCAGAGAAGCAACCTCTTCTGATTGGTCGTTTTCTTGCTGAAGGTTATTCTGTTATCTCTTTGTGGCCGTTTCTCAGAAAATCAAGTCATATATCTGTGAATCATATTTCCACACTTTAACTCTGCTGTGATTGGCTGGTGATTTTCTCAAGGTTAAGCTTTGTTATTGTTTTTCTCATGACCCTGATTCGGGACGTGAACATTGACGTAAATTGTTGTCTACAATTTGGCTTGCAGATAACTCTCACCACACATATAAAAGTTCACTTGCTCTTATGGAACCGATTACATTGGCCGTTCCATGCGTCCGCTTGTAAAACGCGTGCGGGAACACTATCCTGCATGGTTCGCAAACGGGTATACAGTTCGATAGCAGAACATATGTCGAGTTCTGGACATTCAGCCCCATTTGGAAAGTCCTTCAAAGTCATGTACAAGATCCGATCCAACCTACCAAAGGGAGTGAAAATAAGACATCTGGGAATAGCTGAAGCACTGGCGATCCAAAAAGCTCAAGCCTACTTTATGTGCCTAGAAGAAATACGTCCAACCGTTGTCCCTTTCATGGCCATCATGAAAGTCAGTCTCACCAATAATGATTGTCCTATTACCTTTCTTGTCCAACCTTACCGTTTGTTTGTTATATTTACCTTTTTAAATCCCTATCAGCATTATTAGATTTGGTTACTGTTTTTATCTATACATGTCCGAACCTCCTACCCATTTCGTTAATACTACGTCCTTAACGCGTAATCATACAAACTGACAAGTTTTCAAGTAATCATAATCCTATTTTGTCTTTTTTACCCCATCTTCCTGATTACTACACATTGGAATTTTTAATTAGACCTTTGACCCGAAATATTTCTAGAATAGTGACATTACCTATCTTCTGTTTATTACACTTAGTAATTTTATTAATCTGACCTCTGACGGGAAATAATTCTGGAATTTTTTCACACATTTAATGCGAATACACAAATGTACAGCCTAGTTGATGACTTCGTCGAAAAGAAAATTTTCTTCTCTGAAACCGTCTTGTTAATAATTCCTATGATCCAATGTGTTTAATTGTAAAATCCGTAATCCCCATTAAAGTTCTACTGACAAATCCATTCAGTTATAAATATTTATTGTACCGTTACGTGCAGTCAGGAAGTACTTTTCGATTCACATTTGTCTATATGTTTACAGAAGCCAAGCGTCTAGGAATATTATAATGTGCTATGAATGATACCAGAAGGGATAGAGTCAACTGAGTATGATGCTTTGAGTTTAGATGGCGTATATGACTAATCACATGTTAACAAAGTATGCTTGCTACGCTTCTAGCAATTGACTAAGTCGCCGATTTCAACAATGGACAACTCAGGTCATGAATGACTCCATTTGTACATATGTTGGTAATCTTCACTGTAAGCCTCGCAAAGATAATGCGTCTTTTTGTTCTCAACGGAAAAATTTGAGTAATTACATGTGATATGATTGTGATTAGTTGATGACCGGGATCCTTAGTTATTTCAGGCTCTTTTATGCTTAAGTATCAAAAATTACCGAAGATAGTTGATGAAAACTCATTGAAATTTAACTTAACATTTTGAGTAATTGATCGTTGAGCTATAGAAGTTCCTGTGGAGGTGAGTGCTATTGGCCGGTCGACGTGTACCTCGTCTAAAAGAGTTCAAAAACACTCCCTCATGTTTACATAAAGGCATCAGTGGCTTTGTAACAGCCATAATTGAACATCTTATTGACACTCATCATTCTGTTTCAACAAACTCCTACAGAGTGAAGAATAACCCTGCCCCCAAAGACAATACGCTTTCGCCTCCTCTACATCTCTGAAGCTCTGGCCATTCAACTGGAGGAACCAGAGCTCTGCATACAAATGAAAATTACTCAACTACTTCTACTATCATGGTGACTATCTTGCTGTTTTCTACCAAATTTATTTTTTGTTTACATCTTAATTTTGTTTATAACTGTTGTATTCTTCTCGAGCTCTTATGTAACATTGCACTTCCTTTAGTTTCTACGTGCATCCTCATTACGAATATTTCTCTAAATTATTTATCCAGTTACGTAACTCCTCTTATGCATTGATTGATATTAAACACTGTGATTGTAATAACTCATCACTTTTGTTACTTACTACCTTCCTTTGTAAGGGATAATTGTATATAAATGCGACTGTACAACTGAAGAAAATGAATTCCCCAGAAAAGAGCCTCTTCACTGAACTACTTGTTTTGTTTTTTAACAAAGAAAGAACGAACATACTTGCAGCGAAGATAATGCGAGCTGGTTTTACCACGTGGATTCTCTTCAACTGTGTACATCGTAAACAAAGTGGAATTATAAGTTTCAAAATCCTCTGTTCAAACCTTTTTAAAAGTGACTTGTAGTCATAGGCGAAAAGTATAAGCAGCATAATTCAAAAAATGATGAGGGTTGGACTAACTATTTATAGTATAACCAGACAAGTAAGTGGGGTCAGAGTTCAACTTTTGCCTGGAAAAAGTGATCGAACAACAGAGTGAATTTGTATATATACTGATAGAGAGTTCATCAGGGTAGGTGTGAATACTACAGTAAAATTATAACATAGGCAAAACCATTAAGCATATTTGGAAACTAACTAGGGGAATTCAACTAAGTAAAAATCAAAACTAAGTGGGACGTTACATAACAGAACAAAAGCGCACACGAACAAGATAATTGCGGTTACCATAATTGGTAGTAGGAGATTAGTCACACTATCTTTCTGTTTTGTTCTTTTCATTAATACCTGGATGGGGATTATTCACATGGATTAAAAAATTTCTGTTTTATGTGAATAATATAGTTTTACTGAATAATTTTATGCCTCATACAACCAGTCGGAATAAGTTTCATCATTAACTCAACCTCATTTTGTGCGAGTGTGTGTGTGGAAATGTATAAATGTGATAGAATTCAGTCTGCACCAAACAAAGGACTGGACACATCATACTAGTTACTAGTGTCCAATCAAAGTATCCAATACAGTCCTACAGGAAGGGGGTCAGTCGTGAGCCCGAATAGCTCAGTGGTAAAGTCTCTGACTGCAGCATTGGGTGACGGGGGTTCGAATCTCAGAAGGGACATGAGTTTTTCTTTTTGATTACAGCTTGATTCCACACAAGATTTTTTGGTACAGGTATGGAATTTTAAGCATGTGATATCGGTAGCCCAAATTTTGCAAGCCGACCATAGATATCAGGTGTGCGTCGGCAGGAGATCGAACCCCGGACCATATGCATGGTCGGCGAGAGTTATAACCGCTGTACAGATACGCCTTGCTGACGAGTGACAGCTACCACGAAACCTACGTGCAAAGCTTCCTGCCGATTGCCTCGACCCATCTTATATCATCAAATCAGCGATATATATTTTTGTCCAATAAAATTGTCCTTCCCGTCATAGACCAGTCTGTGTCTGCTTGATAATCTCGTGGGTAAATGAAGTCAAACGCAGTCAGAGAAAATAGTTGTATTCGATAACGAGTTGTGTGGTGGC